TCATATGGAATTTATTTTGTATCAAAATTGGACATTACATGATGTATGGGAAAAATCGAACTATATGATGCGATACTCGAACTATATGATTCGAAACTCGCATCATACTATGCGAAATACGCATCATTATATGCGAAACTCGCATCATCGTATGCCATTTTCAATCCATGTTATACCAACAGTTAATTTTCTTACATAACTTATTTTCATTCACACACGCACTGGTTGTATCATGTGTCACACAAAGAGTTGGCACTAACTCCAATCACTTTCCAAAAATCCAAAAGCAATGTTGAAATGTCACACGGATTGTGTTATAAGTTGCATAGAATACTAAAAGAATTACACATGGATCAAAGTAAATTTCGAACGAACGTGTCAATTTTACACACGCATTGAGTTCAAACTCGCATAGGATGGTTCCCACTCGCATAGGCTGTCACAAACAAGTTGCACTTCACATAGGGTGCGATATTTGAAGTCACGTGATATTTACATCCTTGTTTCTACAATATGGCGCCCTCCGTTGAAATGTTATAAAATGTAAATTTTAAATTAAAAATATATAATAGGATACCCTAGGCCCTAGGCTAGGGAGACGTACAGTGGCCATTTATTGAGAAACTACAAACATCTTCCCAAGTAAAAAAATTCTAATTTAGACTTACTTTAGACCTAGTACCGCTCTAATGCCGCTCATATCCTTCTAAATTACTGGGCGGAATTGGAACGGTATTAAAATATGTTAGTACCGACTAGCTGGTACTAGAGTTATATATTGCATCGGTGTTAAATCTGTTAATACCGACTAGTCGGTACTAGAGTTATATTACAGCGGTGTTAACTTATATTTAATCTTGTTGATACAGACTGAGCGGTATAAGAGCGGTATTACGTTATAAAAAATTAGGACATCTATACTAGATCGGTGTTAAATTGATCAGTATTGGAGCTGTAATAGAGCGGTATTAAATATCCCTGTCCAATACCGATGAATCGGTATTTGATCGGTACTTGATCGGTATTGGAGTTTCACTAAAGCCATATTAAATAGCATAGTCCTATACCGGTGCATCGTTATTAGAGCTATTTAATATCGGTACTAGGTCGGTATTTGGTCGGTATTTGGTTAAAGCTGATTGGCTGACAGGACTTCTAAATTAGCTCATTTGCATGATAAATTTTAGAAGGATTTCATCGGTATTAGTTCGGTATTAGACAACTACATTAGGTCGGTATAAGGTCGGTATAAGGTCGGCATTTAATATGCAACGTCCATTGGATTTTTTCACTTGGGTTTTTATCTTTTTGCCGCGCTGATGTGTTATTTCGTTTAGTGCAAAATTAACGCAAGATTTAGAACAAAATCTCGAACATCTCTAGAAAGCAATGTTACATCAAGGTGTGTGATCGGCACATCATGGTTTGTGAAGGGAAAAACGTTTGTGCGAGCCGCATAAGCATTTGTTCGACTTGTGTGCCCTGTTTGATGTCATGTTTAAACAATGCATACACAAATACGCATGTACAAGTGTGATTTTACAAACATAAAGTGTGCAAACTCGAACAAACCGCGTATGAAATCACACGGATTGTGTATGCATTCTGCTAAACGCTATTCAATGTGTTAGAGATATCACATAAATATTAAGTTTAAAACCAGTTTTGACGACCAAGAGAACATTTTGAGCATGTTAGTTCTAGAGGACCTACCCGTTCGAGTACGTTCGATGAAGTTTGTAAACAGACCCCAAACTGTTCTAAGTACGTCCAGTCCGTTCGTACACAGCTGAAGCCCGTTTCCGAGAACGTAGTGAGAACTAGTTTGGTGTGATAGTAGGGTTAAAATGATCAATTCTTGTAAAATTCAAAATAAATCTTATTTTTGGCTTGTTTATGCCACAATCGCACCCCTCCGGCTGAAAACCGAAATATTTTTGGTGATCGCACCTCCCCCTGACTGAAAGATGGCTACGCCCCTGTCCTATGTGGTTTAAACTTTACCTAGGGCTTTTAAATGATTTCTATTTTAAAACTTACTAATGTGAACAAAGGGTGCGTCCAGTATGTCAGAACTAAAATGCAACAAATAGAAGGAATTACATTTGTTTTACATCATTTGATATTCCTACGTACCCTCTGCTATGGGATCATTTGAGCTTCTCACCCACCTCTCTGGTCAACATAAGTCTCTTGACGCTAGAGCCAAAAATGAAAAAGGCAAAAAAACATCGAATCACAAACTTATTTAGGACATCGGCAACATGTTGCACTTTTTTATTGCAAAGCAAAACTGCATATTTCGAATTCTTTGAGATAGACTTTAGTATTGAAGTATGTGAGTTGGATACTTTATTAATTATTATTGAAAAATGTTAACATTTTTATGAAACTTTTCCCCGGATATTGTTGTGACATGTTACTATAGCAACCGTTACTCTACATGTGCTTCGTTTTTTAAACTTTACTGTTTTAACTGCAATTTAGTTATTTATTTCTTTAGAAAAAATGTATATACAATAATAATACATGACTAATACTGACACCAAATGGCATATAAAAGTGTAATGTCAAGTATCAAAAAAAGTATCACTAGAAAAAATATAAAAAAAATATAGTCTAACTAGTTTACAAGGGTATATAGGTATATGAGTTTCATATATACAAGTATTTACATGATATAACATAGTACAATGCATACACTAAGCATGTATGTACGTTGTGTTTAAATGATGTGTCATGACTATTGTAATATACAATGCGTGGATAGTAAATAAAACTGTTTAATATGGAAGTTGTCACATTGACGGGTATTATAACTATGTGTATCGCAGTTTATTTGGAATTTGTATCGAGTAGAGAATTTAGTATTTGGTCACCATCTCTTACTTGGTACATGAAAATTGCTGTATTCAGCTTATTTATATCATATATATTCAGAAGATTCAGAAGATCCCAATGTACTGAGAAATATTTTTTTCTAAGTTTTTGATATGCTCTTTGAAAGTTAAATTGGCATCAATAGCTATTCCTAAGAAAGATATAGTGATGTCTTGCTTGAGTTTGGTGTCATTTATTTTGAGAAAGTGATTGTTAGACGTTTTACCTGGTCCAAAGAGAATCCATTTAGTTTTGTCAATGTTTAAAGAAAGTTTATTGGCATTGATCCAGTCACTGAGCTTTGAAAGTTCTTCATTTGCGGTGTCAAATAGAGTGGGTAAATCTTTGCGAGAGGCCAAGAGATTGGTATCATCAGCAAATAGGATGAATTCAAAGAAATCAGAGGATTTGTAGATGTCATTTATGTAAAGAAGAAATAAAATAGGACCAAGCACTGAACCTTGAGGGACACCATGAGATAATGAGGTTTGTTTAAAAATAACAGTCTGATGACGTTGAGTTAAGTAACTTTGAAACCATGAAAGGGTAACACCGCGCATTCCGTAGTGTGAAAGTTTATCTAATAATATATTATGATCAATAGTGTCAAATGCTTTTGAGAAGTCTAATGATATCCCTAGTGAAGGAATTTTGCTTTCATTTGCACATCTTATCTTTTCAATAAAAGTTAGAAGTGGCATGTATGTAGACTTTTTCTTCTTACAATGATGATCTTCAGATCAACCATGTATCATGTGAATCCCTGACCATCCAGCTTACCAACTCAAAAAATAAAAACACCCTAATCTCAATTACATATAAACCTCCTAACACTAATCAAGAGGAATTATATATTGATCTTCAAGCACTTCTTGATACTCCAAGGAAAAAAACAGTGTATATTCTTGGTGATTTTAATTGTGACATTTTAAAAGCAGAAAGCAACCATGCTACAATTTGCAATACTTAAATACAGTACAATATATATTGTTAGTACCTCAGTGTAAATACTCGCATCTGATTGGTCAATTAGCGGTCAACATTTTTGCCTGTACCCCACCTGGGCATCATGGGATATCATATTATTGACCGCGTATGTTACTGTACTACACTTGTGAATAATGGGGAATATGACGTCATAATGTCTACAGAAAAAACATGGTAGACGGACATTTTGTAAACGTTGATGAAAGTCATATTTTGACTTTACTAGACGACAAGTATAGCAAAATACAAATAGAAACGTAAAATTAACATAAATTTACTAATGAGTACGCATTGCTGGCGTGGTTCGGAGAAAAGATTGTGAAATGAAGCCATACCGATTGATGATTGTCATCTATATGTGTATTATTAGTTTCTTCGGACTAACAAAACATTTGTAGACCTCTCCATTCGGTCAACCGTCAAAATCATATACCTCGACTGTAAACCTTGAAACTACTGTTGACCTCGACCTTCGGTCTCTGTCAACAGTACTTTCTCGGTTTACAGTCTCGGTATACAATTTTGACGGTTGACCTCTGGAGAGGTCACAATTGTATACTCGTAAAAGTAAGAGTCCAACATTTGCAGGCTTAAGACAAGGGAAATGGTTCCAAATGTTTTGGCCTCTTTCTCAAAGCATATGCAAATTTATGAAAATTGTGACCCATATTGTATCTTGTTTAATATTCCAGGGTATGGTGTACTTTATATATGGCCCCACGTTGTTGGACCTAAGACACCACCTCCAAATCGACATTACAGAAATGTCTACCGCTTTCACCATGATAGCGTTCGGATCCCTGATAGGCGCAATAGTGAGTGGATATCTTAACGACCGCTTCAATCAAGCGCTGTCACTTGGGATAGCGATGTTGACCAACATGGGCCTTGTTATCGCAGTACCTTACTTCAAACATATCGCTCCTTTTCTCGTGTGCTGGGGACTGATAGGTGTTGGGGCGTCGGTCGTATATACAGGTAATCTTATATTTATGTGAATAAAATTAATCAATTTCAAAAATTATTTAATGATAGACAAAAGTATAGAGGTGAATATGTCAGAAATGCAAAAAATCTATCGATACTTATTGAACATAACAGTGAAGAATAGTCACAAACAATGTGATTTGATTTATTTACAGTACTGGTCGTGTTTGTGATAGCCATATGGGGGAAAAGAAGCAGCCCATTCGTGCAGTTTCTACATTTTTCACAGGGTGTTGGAGGTTGCATCGTCCCTCTTTTGGCAAACCCTTTCCTGGCGCCAACAAAATATGTAGACATTGAAAATAATGGAACATATTCCAACATGTCTAATGCAAGTTCTGGACCAGACAATGCATCAATGGTTGCGGAGACTACTGAACCTAACTTTCTCATAAATGAAAACAATGATATAACGGAGTCCAGTGTCAAGTATGCTTACCTTATTGTAGCTGTGTACTATGGGGTAGTGGGTCTGCTTTTCTTTCTTATTGCTATCAAAATGAAAACAATTCGTGCTTTGAGACAAGATGCCAAAACACTGAACAATGAGCAACCGACAGAGTCAACTAAGGCACCACTTAATAAACGCTATAGGGTCAAAATGCTGTTCTTAGTGACTTTGATCTTTTACGCACATGGTGGAGTTCAAATAACCCTTAATGTACTTATAACGACTTTCTCCGTTGAAGAACTCCAATGGACAAAATATCTTGGAACAGCTATAGCGTCGGTTTCTGGAGGTGCAATTACCCTTTCATGTCTACTCGGAACTTTTGCAACTAAGATATTGTCGCAATCCCAAATGATATCAATACAGCTATTGATCATGCTCTTGTCAATGGTCACTATGGTAGTGTTTGTTCAGACGCACACTTATGTTTTATGGGTGACAGTCATTTTTACTGGATTATCAAGTGGCAGTATGATGGCTTCAATATATTCCTGGCTCCAAGAGAATGTGATGCCAGTAACGGGTATAGTAGTAAGCTGCAGTATGGTTGGTAAATCAGTGGGTGTGATGACAGTGCCCCTGTTGGCAGCTGGTCTAATGGAGAACGTACATTTCATGTGGTTTACGTATCTGCTACTTGGTATTGTTGTTTTGTTGGGGGTGATAGCCATATGCATATATGCATCTTTTAAAGTTCATATGAATAACCAAAACGCACAATGTGCTGTCGTGACATAAATCTTTTATTTCCTTTAAAGATAACGCAGATCGTTTAAGCAAATTGAACGCTCGTTTTTGATGTTGCCTCTGCCTGTTCATATATCAATAGTTTAAGCTTGTATTCGCGAATGTGTGACGAAGTCATAGCTGACCTCGTTGGTCAGTCTACTTGTTTCACTTCACATCAGTTGATGTCACAATGATCTTATTCTGTTAATTATATTGATAATTATTGCGTTATTTTGATTAGTTTATATTTGTATTATAACCATTGTTTTAGTGATCTTTGAACCCAGTGTGATATTTCACAATATCAACAGTTTAATTTCCAATGTTTTATCATCATATTAGAGCAGTTTTTAGGCATGAACTATATCTAGAGCCAATCAAACGAAAGGATTATTCTTGAGATATGAGTGGCAGAAATGATATATGAAGTCGACTGATGGGAAATTTTGCAATGTTTAGTTAAGATGTTTATACGTTTCGATAGTTTTTGGCATCATCTTGAAGACTGCAAATTTCTGATAAACAAAGTAAAAAGCGATTAAACCTAACGACCTGGAGTACAACTGACCAAAACATCAATACTGCTGTATATACTTTGCAAATGTTTATACCTTTATAATCTACATCACATTTTACGAATAATTGTATACTTTTTAGGGTGAAAATTGACTTATAAATATGTGTATCGGACATAAATTAGATAATGAGTTAAATTGGATAATTGGATTAAGCATCCAGAGTTCATGAGACGAGGCTCAGAGGTTTTGTCTAGACATTCCTTTCCCACCAAATTCTGCCAAATTCTCAAACTTTCGGTAAACATCCAAGATTCGTGGGCAGAAAATCATCACTATTCCTTATTGACTTTCTATAAAATTAAACATTTATTTTTAGGCCAATTTTAGTTAATGCGATTTCCTAATATTTTATTGGATAAGACCTCTTATTTCGGCTCTGCCCATTTCAAAATTAAGATATAAAAGAGGCATTTTTGGCATTGAAACCTCAGAACCTCGTTGCGTGAACTCGGGACTAACCAAAAAACTGTATGTAACTGATTGAAATGATATTTTTGGACTTTAAATTTTCTTTAATAAATTTATATTTTAAACTATATTTGTTTTCATGTTTTGTAAAAGATAGAGAGACTCAACTTCGCCACAAATGCAACTAACGGCTGGCGGCTATCGGATTAACCTACTATTTTATGACCAACTCATTTAAATATGAATGGAATAATAGCAGGTATTATTCATATTTAAATGAGTTGCCCATAAAATTGTAGGTCATTCTCGATACAAGCTGAGTACAGACCATGTAGTATGCATAATTGTAGTTTGGCCATGCCCTGATAATTCAGTGGCGTGCCTTAATAAATTCTAAACTCTACAGCTCTATTACGTTTCATCACGTTAACGGGCACGGGAAACAATTCTAGAGTCTTGTTGAGCTTGCCATCACAAGATACCGTGATGCAGAGGGGGAGAAACCCCAGGGTTCAAAGATGACATACGCTTATAATGTAAATCTGTATAGAGATGACACCGTCGCTGATTGGTTTAGCGAGTCGATCGTTGATTGGTTTAAAACTAGGTCAATTTGAAAACTTTGAAAACCAAGATGGAGGGTAAGTACTCCCGGGAAAGGAGATGCGCGGAAATCGTATGTCATCAATTGAATCATGGGGTTTTCCCTCCTCTTCCGTGATGTATGGTTTTAGAGATAAATGAACCTGCTGGAGAGAGCTACCACCAACTATTCAACTTCTGTAATAGTGGTGAGGGGATAAGCTCTTAATTGGGCCCAATTTTCGTGTCAGTGACAGTTATAGAAAACTCTTAATTAAAGGCAAAATCAGATATATGGGGTGACAAAATTACAAGCAACATGTACAAATGACCTACAAATCTATTCCTTACCATCTCAAATACAATATCTCCCAAGAAATTCACGATATGTTGTCAATTGATGAAGTTATAATGGATTCAAAGTGCAAAAATGGGTGAAAAATGTTATTCTCCCAAATCATAAGAATGGTAACCCTTCTTATTGAAAAATAATACATTATTGTAAAAATACTTGGGGATTTTTAGAAAATAGATATGAAAAGAAATGACATAAGCCAGAAATATTCTAAAATTGAAACAATTTTTTGTTAACCCTACTAATTATCACACCAAACTAGTTCTCACTACGTTCTCGAAAACGGGCTTAAACTGTGCACGGACGGATTTGACGTACTAAGAAACCACTAAGAACCGTTTGGGATCTGTTTACAAACTTCATGAAGCTACTAGAACGAGTAGGTCCTCCAGAACTTAGAGCATGCTCAAAATTTTCTGGTGATCGTCAAAACGTTGCCAAATCGGTTTTAAACTGCGTGCGAACTGAATGAACGTAGCTACAACGTTCTACGGTCTATTTACGAACTGTCCCGGACTTTCCCGGACGGGGAATGTGATTTAGAATTTTGAATCGATTCAAAATTCGATGGCGACCATACCGTTCTGTAATCAGGTCATGATGACCTTCTAGACTAAGAGACGCGTTATACGACGTTGCACACCGACGTGGTGCGACCTGAACGAACTGCGAATGAGATGGACGTATTGAAGACTGTTTATGAACGAAGATTGAGCCCGTTTTACGACGTTTTCGTAGGACTGGCAAGAACGGGTAAGAACTAGTTTGGTGCGAGAGGGGGGTAACAAGCAACACAGACACCTTTCAGATCGGAAAATAATTTTGCAGTTATCTAGAGGACTTGACATGAGGATCAGTTTATCTTTTGAATTCTCGATTATGTCCCCTCTCAACCAGCGTGGTTCAAAAGTAAGCACTAACGTATTCTGAAGGTTGTTCTACTCATACCACATTCCATATTTTTTGAATCTTTCTATCTTTGGATCTAGTCCAATTTTAAAGTTGTTATGAATCATGACAACTGAGCGACGGTTCCAATACTTTTTAAAGTTCTGTCCTGTGACGAATTTTGTCCTGTCCAAAACTTTTATTTTAGGAGCACGATTGGTTTTTCGTTTCAACATAGGCCTTAAAATCCGATTTACATACACTTGGTCGTGTGTTGAGAATTTAGCGTCTGTTGCAAGTTTAGCTACTTTTTTAAAGACCCGGATGGACGCATGCGTGTTTCTTACGAACATGAAGCCAGAATTAAGTTCTCCCTTGGCGATGTTTTCCTGTATGATAATGTCACAGTCGCTACAATTTAAATGCAGTAATGGATCCTTTTTGTAAACGATATCACCGTCAGTCAACAATGTATTGTATCCAAGTTGTAAACATTGCAATAACCAGTGTATCTTTGCATTCGTCTCTTTGTTAAACTGCATTGTACCATATCTCGCCAGTCCAGTTTTATTTGATTTAGTCCCAGCAAAATAGCATCGAACATCCATAGATTTCAATTTCCGAAAACTGAACTCATCTTTGCATATAGGTAACATAATATCTGTCAAATGTTTGTTTATTTTTTGAAGGGACAGTCTCATATTCCAAAACATTTTGAAATATGCCTTATCCACAAAAGTCAATATAACCAGGTTTTCCTTTGCATTGACCACGTGCTGCAAAGAATTTCTAAGAGAGGATTCTTTCCTAATTGCATCTACAAAATCTAATTTGACATGGTTTTCCTTTGCATTGGCTACGCGTTGCAAATCATCTCGAAGAGAGGACGAATATGTCTGATTTGTATCCGCAAAACCTAGTTTGACCAGACTTCCATTTGCACTGGCAATGTGTTGCAAAGCATCTCGAATGGAAGAATACATCTGATTTGTATTATGTTTTTGCATCCACCATAGTAGGTATACAAGGAATGCAAAACATATTGCTGGTATTACTGCAAAATAAAATCATGGAATTGTTTATGTACTTAAGGATTTAAGCCCATGGCTCAATGAATTGCTGCTTATTTAAAACATGCATTTCGTGTATAAAGACTTTAAATGAAGGCATTAGCTCGGAATCATAAAATACTGCAAGATATGTGAGTGCATTTGATCATCCACAATTCATGGAATCGTGGGCTTGCAGTGAGTTACTTTCATCTACTGCATAATATTTTGTACAGCACTACAAAAATAAAATTTTGCAAGATTAATGCCATTTTGCTGTACATTATCCTACTTTGCGATGTACGGTCTAACAAAAGTATATCAATAAAATCTGCATTTGTAATGAATAATGTTTTGCAATGCTATTTTCACTGGAAGTATTTTTTATGAAGTTCAATCGTTCAAAAAATTTTAAATAAATTTTTTATAATTAAGCGCGATTATAGGGCATAACAACATGTGGCCGGTCTAATTATACTGTTTGTTTTGATAAGGGTGTGCAAAGAGATATCAAAACTCTTGACACGCTCTTTACACGCGAGGTCTTTGCACCTCTTGACACGTCTTGGAATCTCTAGATACGCGGAGTTCCTAGACTATCTTTGCACGTCTAGAAATTGCTTGGAATTTCACATTTGACGCAGTGTTAAGTCTAGGGCTTAAATTCTTTTCACACATTTCATGTATGAAGGTAAAACCTCCCGCTGTCACCCAAGAGTAACCCGGCCATGTGACTTCCTACATGTAGCTTGTATTCCAATATCCATACTTTACTGATGAGTCAATCCGCCATATTAAATAGCAGCCCACATTCCCTTTGCCCAATCCGCCAAATTAAATAGCCCAAAATTTACAATAGTTCATTTCACCATTTTTTTAACTTTTGAACAAATGCGTTGTCTAAGGAAGGCAAACAATGGTACCTGTTACACTACCGGGTTAAATTGTTTAGTTACGAGGCATTTTGACAATAAAAACTTCGGAACCAATGATTTTGTGCCTGTGTAACACCTGAGCATCCTTTGCTACGAAGCAATTTATCAAAATGCTTCATTATGAAGCAATTAAACATGATGTGTAACTCTATATACAGTAGCTAGGCAAGGTGTGTCTGATTCCAGCCAATCAGAACACAGTATTTCACATATAGAACAGTGTGTGAAATATAAATAACACATGCAAGGTCACTAGTTAAACAGTTGTCATGGCGTCGGCGATGAATAGTGATTTCGTTCCTTTTGGATGATTTTGTAGAAAAACTTGCAATGTGTAAAAATAATTTAAACCCAAGACTCAATGCATTGTAGCTGCTTCATTCCACTCAGGTGTTGTTTCCTAAACTTTGCATTCCTGCTGGGCGGTCATGCAAAGGTCTGGAAACAAAACCTTCATGGTATGATTCAGCAAACAATGCACTGAGTCCAGGGCTTAAATCCTTAAACCAATGCCTTCAGGGGATATGACTATTACCTCATTTACTTCTGTCTTGTATGGATTTATATAATTTGGATCTCTTTCTACAAGCTGCAATTCTTGAGCTACCTGGAAAATAGATGTTTTTCACATTTTTTTTTTTTTATATTTATTTATTTATTCATTTATATAATATAACAGTACAATATAGTCCTGCGGCTGGGCTTAAAGCATTATTAGCCACATCTAGAATACTTATATAAAGGGGTAAAAAATAAAAATTGTAAGCCTAAATGGTAAAAGGCTTAAACTGCCTGGGGTCTTTCGAAACACTGTCTGATAAAGAGAGCACTGGATGCAAGTATTTCATGGTTCTTACTAAGAGAAAGAGATGGGTGATCAAAGAGAAATAAGTCAAGTTTATCTTGTCTATTTTTGCATAAATGCCTGTAGTTCGGAAGTAAATCAAAAAGCTTCTGTTCAAAGCTTATGTAGAATGGTTGTCGAATAGGACAAGAAAATATTATATGTTTTGTTGTTTCACTTTTGTCACCACATATACATTCAGGTGAGTTTACATTGACAAAGTTATGGGCATGAAGGTGAGCATTTAATATGAGGTCAACTCTTATTCTATTCAAATATATCTCGTCAGCCCTATTAATGCCCAACTCTGATGCCAATATAATATCATTATTTAAGAACAATTGACTAATATTATTCTTAAAAGTCTTGATTGTATCACAGTTTCTAATCTTGGAGCTCAATCCGTTGAACTCAGTCATACACAAGAAGGTGGGAGATCTAGAGCGTATTCTTGAGCGACGTAGTGGAACTTGAAAAGGTATTACATTACGAATATCTCTGATATTTGTTTTTTTGTATTTGTCAAAAATTGTTGAAACATAATGAGGTACATTTCCACATTGCACTTTGAACATAAATGTAAGTCTATGTATCTTTCTACGAATCTCCAAGGTTGGCCAATTCAATACATGGAACAGTTTAGTAGACGAGGTTCCAGCAATTGTACCTGCACATATTGTTGCAGCTTTATAATAAAGCCTATCTAGACTCTTCAGAGTTGTTAGGTTTGCACATCCGTACAAAATATCATATAAATCAAAATGAGGCAGAATATAAGAGTTGAACATAAGCTTCAGATGTTTACCACCCAATTTTTTTGATATACTTTTCAAGTGGTTTAGCAACTTATCAATTTTATTAGCTGATTCGATAATATGTGGTTCAAAGGTAAGCTGGCTATCAAAAACTAAACCAAGATGCTTGTGGTTATTTACCTTTGGAATAATGTCACCACCCAAAGACAAAGAAGGAGTAAGCAATTCTGCTTTCCTAGGGTCAAAGAAATTTAACTCAGCACTTTTACTCGCTTTGAACTTTAATTTCCATTTGTCAGACCAATTGTAAATTGCATCTAGATCATTTTGTAATTCAGTCATCTTTATATCTATATCACCAGCTTGAAATGGCTGGTAGATGGACGTATCGTCCGCATAGAGATAACATCTAGAGTCAATATGGTCAGTTATGTCATTGATATAGATAAGAAAAAGAAGAGGGCCTAATATTGATCCTTGGGGAACTCCAGAGTTGATGTAACTTTCTTTTGACCATTCAGAACTTTGGCCATCGATGACAACTTTGACCCTGCGATTAGTTAAGTATGATCTCAACAAAGAGCATACATCAGGACCGAAACCATAACTAGGAAGTTTATTCAAAAGAAGGTTATGAGGAATTGTGTCAAACGCGGCCGAGATGTCCAAAAATGCCGCTTTTACATTAAATCCTGCATCTAAATGCTCAGTCAAGTAATCAATTATTGTCAGTAACTGAAATTGAGTACTGTGGCCAGGTAAAAACCCACTTTGTAGATTATATAATAAATTCTGATCCACAAGAAATTTAAAAACCTTATTAAATATGATTCTCTCAGTAACTTTTGAAAGACAGCTTAAAAGTGTAATTGGCCTATAATTTGATGGAGTATTTTTGTCACTTTTCTTATGAATGGGAACAATGTTACCAAGTTTCCAGCATTGAGGGAAACAGTTTGTTGCAAAAATCTTGTTGATAAGTTTAGATAATGGTTGAGAGAGAGAGCGGGGGCTGCCAGTTTTAGCATTTTATTACTAATTTGGTCTGGTCCAGAGGCCTTATTTACATTTAAATTCACCAACGTTTCGAAAACTTCATTGTAATTTGTTGACAGCATGTTGATTGACTCATTTGTACGAAGATGTAAAAAAGCATTATCAACAGGCCCTTCAAAATGAAAACTTTTAATAAAATGATTCAGGAAAATATTGGCTTTATCTTTGCCTGACCTGACAGTATTACCCAGATCGTCAACAAGAATAGGTATTGAACTAGATCGACTGTTTGAAAATAATTTAGATGTGATGTTCCAGTAAGATTTTGAACCAAAATGTTGTGTTTCCATTTTACTAATTATCCGCTTTTCATGTTCGAGTTTCGCTTGAGTAATGGCATTATCTACAATTGTGCACTGGGCAAGATATCTATCAAATTGTTCAGGTTTGTTAGAATGGCGAAATGCATAGTGACATTTGTTCCTTTTGTTGATTAATGTTCTGATTTTGTCAGTAAACCATGGCTTGTCATTTGATTTTACTCTTATTTGTTTATTTGGAATGCAAGAACAAAAAATATCGAATAATGAACTGGTGAACTCTTTCCCAATGTTGTTCAAGTCATTTGAGTCTTCAATTATATTACAAAGTCGCGAGTGACGAATTGAGTTATTCAGAGTGGAAATATTAACATTGTCGTATTTCCATACCCTACGTAGAAAAGATGGATTTTTTGTAATCCCAATAAGGATTCACATTTACGAGGGGCATTTGAAAAGTTCCTTTCTTTTTGCTCTAAAAATATGAGGAATGATCAGAACAAGACAAAACTTTTAGAATGTATAGTTCGACTATTTATGATTAAGCTGTGAGAATTATAGCGTGTAATATATTATAGCCACAGTTAAACATCCGTTTGAAATATACTTGTCTCGATACCGCGGAGCAGTTTGAATATGGATACTTTTAAGTCACAATCAATGTATCCAACCATAATGTGCAGTCCATGGACCTATCTTATCTTTGCCACAACATTAAGCCAGTGGGCCTAAGCCAGGGCTCTATATCTCCTTCGAAGTATTCTCCCCCAAATATAATTCACTTTCTAAACCTCCGTATCCAATCCATATAGGCATTTTCCTGTGCAATTATTGCCTTCACTAAAATAATCCATAATTAAAATATTTGCCACTTATTTTCAGCTTTATCCAAACGTTTCCAAGAATGTCATTCATAAGATCATGAATTATTTCAGATTCAATTGAGTTATGAACATAAATAATTAATCCACGGTTTTTATTAGTATAATAGAGGATTTGAAAATCATTGAAAATCAAGGAGTTTTCCACATCATTTTTTGTGAGATTTCCCACTTCGCAGAGACCAATTACTTTTATGTCATGTTGCTTAACCCTAAATTTAAGGGCTTCAAATCTTGATAAGTAATTTGCTTTAAGACTATTTATGTTAGAAAATAGGATAGGTAACTCATTTATAGTGTTTTCAATATGCGGTCCGGGATTTGATTCAATATCCCCGCTGAGTTTCAGTATCAATGTGCAATCAACTAGGTACATCAAAAGTGGTGAACCTGGAAAAATAGTCATAATACAGAGTATTCTGTGGAATCTCACACTGAAAAGAATATACGATTTAGTGCAAGATGACCAAGCAATAGCATAAATACAGTATACAAGAAATGGGCCAATAACTGAATGATATAATACACATAGGAGCATAATTTGAAGTTTCCAGAAACGTTCTGCTTGGATGTTAATTTTCAGTAAAGTGAGAATCAGAATGAAAAAATATATCATAAGAAAGATGAAACCATCATATTTCAGTGCTCTGATGTTTGATTTCCACTCGTCAGGTTTGCTATCATTTCTTAAATACACTTTATATACATTGAATAAGCCAATGATAGCCCTCCATGTGACTTGTTCACTTGGCATTAACCCTCACCTTTCCTCAGTGATCTCCAAAGGCAATCAACTAGACCCAACCAAACAATAAAAGGAATAGCACACATTTTAAGAGCAGGAGCTGGGCAAAGTTAAAACCAGAAAAATGTGACATTTCAATTGAAACAATTTTAAAAAATGCAAAGAACAAGTACAGTATTTAATACATGAAGCACATGCTTATAAGCATCAAGTAGCTTTGATATATAATTATTTACAACTGAATTCATAACTCTAAATGGAACTCAACAGTAAAAGGAAAACAGCTTGTTATCAGGTTTGTCAATCAAAACTGTAACTGTGTCAGGTAATATGAATGTGTGGCACTGAATACACCAGGCGACCTTAAATTAATCAGCAAACTATATATACTATCTATTTAATGTTCGTTATGCTTCTTAGTCAAACAGAAAAGTGAGCGTTACCACTGGTGATTCGCTCGATTACGCTGGTTACCACATGGTCTCAAAATGTCGGAACGTCGAAGGTACGATTTTTCTTTTTTTCCTTATTTCACGAGTCGTAGGCAGAATCCCCACGACATCTTTTCTCACAAACGTGTATCAGTATCATATGTTTTAGAAAATGTACATGATTGCGAAAAAATAGCTCAGAAGATAACAGAATCGTCTATATAATTCCTCACTTAAGTTACATAAACGTAGGGGTTAAAAGTGCAGATCTTAACTGTTTTTCGAAATACCGTTTATGTAACTTAAGTGAGGAATTAAATCGACGATTCCGATGTCTTCTGAACTATTTGTTCGAATTTGCAAATGTGTACATTTTCTTAAACATATGATACTGATACACGTGTGTGATAAAAATGGCGTGGGAATTCTGCCTACAACGTGTGAAAAAAGAAAAATCGTACCTTCGACGTTCCGACATTTTGTTACCGAAACGGTTTGATTTTGTGAATCTATACAAACTTAAAACGTTGATTTTCAAAAGAGTAATATGACGAATCGACGATGATTAATGGCATAAAGGGGAACAATCATTGCTCCTTCAATAAAACATCAAATTCGCAAAGCCTTTCTTATTCATTTATTTTGAATATTGTTGCATATTACACTCTCAATAAGAAGTTGATGCAATGAACAGCGAGGACCAAGGCCGTGATGATATTATTGTAGATACTCAAGAAGGAATTGGTGGAGTGAACAGCAAGAGTCAAAGCCGAGCTGATATTATAGTAGATACTCAAGAAGAAGTCGATGAAATGAACAGCGAGAGTCAGAAACGTGGTTATATTATAGGAGATACTCAAGAAGAAATCGATGAAATGAACAGCGAGAGTCAAAGCCGTGATGATATTATGGTAGATACTCAAGAAGAAGTCGATGAAATGAACAGCAAGAGTCAGAGACGTGATGATATTATTGTAGATACTCAAGAAGAAATCGATGAAATGAACAGCGAGAGTCAGAGACGTGGTGATATTATAGTAGATACTCAAGAAGAAGTCGGTGGAGTGAAAAGCAAGAGTCAAAGCCGAGCTGATATTATAGTAGATACTCAAGAAGAAGTCGGTGAAATGAACAGCGAGAGTCAGAGACGTGATGATATTATGGTGGATACTCAAGAAGAAGTCGGTGGAGTGAAAAGCGAGAGTCAGAGACGTGGTTATATTATAGAAGATACTCAAGAAGAAATCGATGAAATGAACAGCGAGAGTCAAAGCCGAGCTGATATTATAGTAGATACTCAAGAAGAAGTCGGTGAAATGAACAGCGAGAGTCAGAGACGTGATGATATTATGGTGGATACTCAAGAAGAAGTCGATGAAATGAACAGCGAGGACCAAGGCCGTGATGATATTATTGTAGATACTCAAGAAGGAATTGGTGGAGTGAACAGTAAGACTCAAAGCCGAGCTGATATTATAGTAGATACTCAAGAAGAAGTCGATGAAATGAACAGCGAGAGTCAGAGACGTGGTTATATTATAGAAGATACTCAAGAAGAAATCGATGAAATGAACAGCGAGAGTCAAAGCCGAGCTGATATTATGGTGGATACTCAAGAAGAGGTCGGTGGAGTGAACAGCAAGAGTCAGAGACGTGATGATATTATAGTAGATACTCAAGAAGAAGTCGGTGAAATGAACAGCGAGAGTCAAATCCGTGATGGTTTTATGGTGGATAACAAAAAAGAGGTCGGCGGAGTGAACAGCAAGAGTCAACGCCGTGATGATATTATGGTGGATACTGAAGTAAAAGTCGATGAAATGAACAGCGAGAGTCAAAGCCGAGTTGATATTTCACCTGTTAAAGTGGATACTCAGGTTGATAGATCTGGCACAACACTAGCAGAAAATCTAAAGTGGCCCATTACGTTACTGATATTTCTTGCTGCTTTTGGTTCGGTAAATATAGTTTATTGAAGTATTTTTTTCAAATTGACTTCGTAATTTTTTTGATGCGTTCATTTGTGTACCTCGAGGTTCGGAGGTTGATTTCGTGGATGTTCAGCTTTAGATCATAAAACATTGTCATATCAGACTTTTAAAAAATTAGTTTATTCGTTTATTATGTTAATAGGGAGTTTAAGCTGGCATATAAAATCGAAACGCCAACCTATACGTATGACCAATCGCTCACACAAATGCATCGCTTAAATATTTTCCGTTTACCTTTAGGCTATGAAAAACATTGCAAGCTCATCTCCCTTTTATTTAGAATTTTTGACTTCCCTGAACCACTTTCTGAGCTAACACATGATGTTATTTCTATCCGATATTTTTTAACCAATCGTACAATTCTTTTCAACATAAACTAAATTAGCATGCATGCTATCTATTAGTGTGAATTATTACTTATTGATAACAATGTATTACAACTAACCCCCCTATCACACCAAACTAGTTCTTACCCGTTCTTGTCAGTCCTACGAAAACGTCGTAAAACGGGCTCAATCTGGCTGTGGTCGGGAAATATGTCTAAAATAATTAGCTACTTCGTTCATAAATAGTCTTCAATACGTCCATCTCATTCGCAGTTCGTTCAATCGCATCACGTCGGTGTGCAACGTCGTATAACGCGTCCCTTAGTCTAGAAGGTCATCATGACCTGATTACAGAACGGTATAGTCGCCATCGAATTTTGAATCAATTCAAAATTCTCAATCACATTCCCCGTCCGGGAAAGTCCATGAATTTTGTAAACAGACCGTAGAACGTTGTAGGTACGTTCATTCAGTTCGCACACAGTTTAAAACCGATTCGGCAACGTTTTGACGATCACCAGAAAATTTTGAGCATGCTCTAAGTTTTGGAGGACCTACTCGTTCGAGTAGTTTCATGAAGTTTGTAAACAGATCCTAAACGGTTCTTAGTGGGTTCTTTGTACGTCAAATCCGTTAGTGCACGGTTTAAGCCCGTTTTCGAGAACATAGTGAGAACTAGTTTGGTGTGATAGTAGGGTAAAAGATTATTTGAAATGAGTTCACAATTTTTAACTTTTTGAAATTGAAATAAAAGTTTCATATATCACATTTTGATAACATTGGGTAATACTGCAACATTATCCTACATAGGCGTAGCCAGGGGCGGGGTGCCGCCCTCATATCAATAAAAATAAAACCATGAGAAAGAAGAAGAAAAGAGCTTGAAAATGATCAATTCTTGTAAAATTCAAATAAATATTATTTTTGGCTTGTTTATGCCACAATCGCACCCCTACGGCTGAAAACCGAAATATTTTTGGTGATCGCACCCCCCCCCCACTGACTGAAAGCTGGCTACGCCCCTGTCCTATGTGGTTTAATCTTTACCTAGGGCTTTTAAATTATTTCTATTTTAAAACTTACTAATGAAACAAAGGGTGCGTCCAGTATGTCAAAACTAAAATGCAACAAATAGAAGGAATTACATTTGTTTTACATCATTTGATATTCCTACGTACCCTCTGCTATGGGATCATTTGAGCTTCTCCCCCCCCCCTCTATCTGGTCAACATAAGTCTATTGACGCTAGAGTCAAAAATTAAAAAGGCAAAAAACATCGAATTACAAACTCATTTAGGACAGAGGTATTCCATCATTTGAGCTTCTCCCCCCCCCCCTCTCTGGTCAACATAAGTCTATTGACGCTAGAGTCAAAAATTAAAAAGGCAAAAAATCATCGAATTACAAACTCATTTAGGACAGAGGTATTCCATCGGCAACATATTGCACTTTTTTATTGCTAAGCAAAACTGCATATTTCGAATTCTTTGAGATAGACTTTAGTATTGAAGTATGTGAGTTGGATACTTTATTAATTATTATTGAAAAATGTTAACATTTTCATGAAACATTTCCCCGGATATTGTTGTGACATGTTACTATGGCAACCGTTACTCTACATGTGCTTCGTTTTTTAAACTTTACTGTTTTAACTGCAATTTATTTATTTATTTAGAAAAAATGTATATACAATATTAATACATGACTAATACTGACACCAAATGGCATATAAAAGTATAATGTCAAGTATCAAAAAAAGTATCACTAGCAAATATAAAAAAAAATATATATATATATAGTCTAACTAGTTAACAAGGGTATATAGGTATATGAGTTTCATATATACAAGTATTTACATGATATGACATAGTACAATGCATACACTAAGCATGTATGTACGTTGTGTTTAAATGATTTGCCATGACTATTGTAATATACAATGCGTGGATAGTAAATAAAAATGTTTAATAAGACAGATTTTTTATAAGTAGCTTGACAAGAGGTCAGATTTGTAGGCCTTTTTAAAGGAGATTATAGATTTTGACATTTTTGTGGAATGTTAAAGAGAATTCCATAGTGAAGGCCCATTTCGTTTTATGAAATTTTTTTTCGCATGTTCAATATTTTTTTTATTTTTTTTTTCATGTTCAGTATGGAAGTTGTCACATTGGCGGGTATTATAACTATGTGTATCGCAGTTTATTTGGAAATTTGTATCGAGTAGAGAATTTAGTATTTGGTCACCATCTTTTACTTGGTACATGAAATTGCTGTATTCAGCTTATCTACGAGGGTATATCATAAAGTTCTCATAATATCTCTCTAATTTTTTTATTTTTCAACATATTCTCATGAAATTTTCATAGAATCTGCAGTATAGAATACTGTATTGATCTATCAAGAAATATTTGGTATAACAGAAATAGTAGATAAGCAATGGTTGCCATAGTAACCGGAAATCAAGGCACCCGGGGCAAATAAAATTAATTGAGATATAATGAGCTTTATTAACCTTGTTTACATACATAATAAACTCTCATAAATTATCAAACACATTAAAATGTTATCTTGAATATGTTGTTAAATGCTTTTACTATAAAATAAATTGATCATGTGAATTGTGTGATGTCATAGGGGATGCTTACATGCTTCATTAGATGTGATACCAGACTCTGAGAATCAAAGCTTAATGATCAGAAATAACTGAGTTAGATAATGCATAGACGCAGGGATCATCAGAAAAATAATATTCATACTGATAAAAAGTTTAGTTTAGTTCGAAAAATCCTTTGCTCATACTAAAGATAATCTAAAACAAATGTGGTGCAAAGATATCAACAAAATTACACCCTATGTGTGGTCTATTATTTATTTAAGATGAACTAAAGTGGAAAATCGACTTTCCTTGGAATATTTGACAAGACAGTTGTAGTGTCTAACATCACTTCTAATAAAGCATTATGATCATCCATTATGAGATCACAAAATTCACATGACCATTATAATAGTTCAAAACTATCAAGAATACATGGTGCTTAACAATTTGATGTGTTTCATAGTTTATTTGATAACTTATTATGCATTTAAACATGGTTAGTTGGGGCTATTCTTGCACAATTTTTTATTTGCCCCGGGTGCCTTGATTTCCGGTTACTATGGCAACCATTTCTTAAATAATATTTCTGTTATACCAAATATGTTTTGATAGATTAATGCAGCATTGTATATTACACATTCTGTGAAAAATTCATCAGAATATATTGAAAAATAAAAAAATTAGAGAGATATTATGAGAACTTTATGATATACCCTCGTATATCATATATATTCAGAAGATTAAGTTCTTTGAATAATTGAGCTGTATGATCAACGTATTTTTTTCCAAAAACAATGCGAACAAATCGTTTTTGAATCATGTAAATTTTATCAAGATAAGATTTGTAGTTGTTATCCCAAATAATATTGCAGTAATTGAGTTGAGAGTGAATAAGAGAGTAGTATATACTATAAGCAAAGCACTTTTTGTTAAAAAAATATGGACTCCATACAAGACCCCAATGCATCTTTTTTTCTTAGTTTTTGATATGCTCTTTGAAAGTTAAATTGGCATCAATAGCTATTCCTAAGAAAGATATAGTGATGTCTTGCTTGAGTTTGATGTCATTTATTTTGAGAAAGTGATTGTTAGAAGTTTTACCTGGTCCAAAGAGAATCCATTTAGTTTTGTCAATGTTTAAAGAAAGTTTATTGGCATTGATCCAGTCACTGAGCTTTGAAAGTTCTTCATTTGCGGTGACAAATAGAGTGGGTAAATCTTTGTGAGAGGCCAAGAGATTGGTATCATCAGCAAATAGGATGAATTCAAAGAAATCAGATTTGTAGATGTCATTTATGTAAAGAAGAAATAAAATAGGACCAAGCACTGAACCTTGAGGGACACCATGAGATAATGAGGTTTGTTTCGATTTACAGCCATTAGAAATAACAGTCTGATGATGTTGAGTTAAGTTTTAGTTTAGTTTAATAATAGTTTATTTCTGTGTCACAGGTTTACTAAAATATTACAAGTAAAATACATGTATTAAAAAACCCAACAGCCGACATCGGCTTACGAGACTCCATATAAATATACAAAAATAGTCAATAGAAAAATATAGCATCGGTATGTCGAATAATATCACAGAGGATGTAGATTAAGTTTGCAGAGTGTGAACAATTCACAGACAAAATGACTAGAGTTAAATAACATACAATATAAACATGTGATTTCAAAATGCAATAAATGAGAATACAGTAATTATGACTGGTTGATAATATTGCACATATTTAATATCACAAACGTTCCAGGTTAAATAAACGTTTTGAGAACATTTTGTAAAGAGTAGCAGCAAGGCAGCTTTGAATGTTCTTTGCATGTAGTAATGGGATCATAATTAAGGTTGGATTGGCACTTGAAGTATTTAAATAAGGTACTTTAACTTTGGCTTCCTGATACAACATGTCTCTTAATTCTGTATAATGTGAACATTTAACAAGAAAATGTAATTCATCTTCAACTTCATTTGAGTCACACAGTTTACACTTCCTTTCCAATAAAGGTGTGTTATTATACCTTTGTGTCTCAACATTAAGTTGAAGGGACCCAGTTCTAAAGCTAGCTAGAATTTTCCTTTGATGTCTTGGCATGTAAATGTTATTATAATGTTCAGTTACTACTCCGTACTTGAACTGTCTATATGTCCTCAGTTTATTACCATTGACTAGGTTATGTTGATCATTCCAAATATTTGTAAGAAATGGATCAGTTTGTTGAAAATAATCACTAATTTTTTCATGAAGGGTTTACATGGGGTTTGCGTCCCTAAATGTTGTTCAAGGCCTGCTAGTTGTATTATGTGCTGTGTTCTGGAATCCCAGCTTGAGCGTCTTTTTAGAGACCATTTGTAGATCTTATGGTTCAATCTGTTGGGGTTCATGTTTCTGAGTCTAATAAGGTGGCGTACACATTCAATTTTCTGTTTATCTTTTGCTTGTGTCCAGCCTAAATCCCCTCTTACTGCTTCATTGCTGGTCTTTGCTCCAACACCCAGGAAAAATTTTCCAGCTCTATTTTGCACTTTGTTAATACAGCTATGTTCTGACAGCCCAACAATTGAGCATCCATAGTTAATAATAGGCTGAACCATGGTGTCATACAATTTGTTATACACTGAGAGATCCATGCCACCTAACTGTTTATACTTAGAGATTATAACTCCAAGGGCACGATTTGCTGACTTGGCTATTTCTTTTGCAGTTTTATTGTAATTGATATGTTCATCTAACCATATACCAAGGTATTTATAGGTGCTGGCATATGATAATTCCATGTTGCCACAGTTGAATTGATGTTTACTACGGGGTTTTGAAGGTGGGCGATAATGTACAATTTTGGACTTTCTCTGGTTGATTTTCATTCTCCACTTCCTGCACCATGTATTTACAGTGTCAATCATTCTCTGAAGGTCTTCTGCAGAGCTGGCTATGAGGGCTATATCGTCAGCATATAAAAGTATTGAGACATTTGTGTTGTCTATATTTATCCCACAGTTCAATTGTTTTACTTCTGCGGCTAGGTCATTCACATAGATTGCAAATATTGTCGGAGATAACAGACAGCCTTCCTTCGAACCCTTGCTGATGGTAAACCAGGGTGTTAAATATCCATTGACACGAATGGCTCCAGATACATCCTGATATAATGATTTAGTTGCATTGAATATTTTGCCCTTGACTCCAATGCGGTTTAATTTTAGCCACATACAATCACGATTTAGACCACTAAAAGCTTTCGTTGCGTCGATATAACAAACAAATGTCTCGAGTTTAGCCAACTTACGATTATTAACTATTGAGTGGAGGCTGTGGGCATGATCTAAACAGCTGCGCTTTTCACGAAATCCATTTTGCTCATCAACCAATAAGTTGTTGCTCTCAAGGAACTTTGTAAGGCGCTTGTTAAGAATATCACAGTATATTTTACATGGCACTGAGATTAGGCTGATTGCTCTGTAGTTAAGTGGGTCACGGTTGTCGCCATCCTTGAAAATTGGATTAATTATGGTCTGCATCCACTTTTGGGGGACAATTCCACTATCAAAGCATTCTATGATAATTTTATACAACATATTTATACAGGTTGGGTTTTTCAATACTTCTGCTGGGATTGAGTCAATGCCCACGGCTTTGCGAATTTTGGCTCGATGAACTGCATTAATGACTTCCTGTAGGGTTATGTCCTCATTAAGTGGTGCACTTAGTGGGTCAACATTATCATTTTCAATATGGGAGAGTGCTTCCTTGACTTGTTTCAAGTGATTCTCATCAAAGTTGACATTGTCCTCTTTTTCTGAATATAATTTATTGTATGAGTTGGCCCAATAATTTAAGACTTCTTGTTTGTCTGTTGATACAGTTTTGTCTGGTTTTAAAATTTCCCAAGGAACTTCCTGTTTTCGGTCTGAGGCGATACCAATTTTTCCAATTTTATCCCAAAAGTTCCTAGAATTTGGTTCATTATATATATCCAATAGATGTTGTTGTTCTTGTTTCTGGAATTGTCGCTTTATTCTGCGATGGATTCTGTCAAAGGTTCGTCGTTCTATCTTGTAAAGTTCTTTCAAGTTACGTTTTTGGGTGGATTTACATTTCAGCCAGGCAGATTCAGATGCAGACACTTTATTCCATTGTGTTTGTAGTTCATCACACCAGTATGGCTTTCTGAATGACTTGGGTTTTTTAGTAGTGGCCTTCACTGTGACTGGTTGGAACACTTTACTCATTTCATTGTCAATAGCTGAGACAAACTCATTGTACATACAATTGATACGCTCAGTGGTATTAGTTGTTCTTGAGATACGATCTAAAGTTTTATTAATTTGTGTTATTAGGTTATTATCTAACATAAAGTTATCGGGCACCTTGTTTATCCTATATTTTTTGTGTTTTAAGTTATCTTCAGTTGGGCATTGTTCTTCATTTGGTGAATACCATTCAAAGTCCAAAGGAAGAATTAAATCACAGCTCAGGATACAATGGCCATTAGAAATAACAGTCTGATGACGTTGAGTTAAGTAACTTTGAAACAATGAAAGGGTAACACCACGCATTCCGTAGTGTGAGAGTTTATCTAATAATATATTATGATCAATAGTGTCAAATGCTTTTGAGAAGTCTAATGATATCCCTAGTGAAGGAATTTTGCTTTCATTTGCACATCTTATCTTTTCAATAAAAGTTAGAAGTGGAAAGTATGTAGACTTTTTTCTTCTTACAATGATGATCTTCAGATCAACCATGTATCATGTGAATCCCTGACCATCCAGCTTACCAACTCAAAAAATAAAAACACCCTAATCTCAATTACATATAAACCTCCTAACACTAATCAAGAGGAATTATATATTGATCTTCAATCACTTCTTGATACTATCTCCAAGGAAAAAAACAGTGTATATTCTTGGTGATTTTAATTGTGACATTTTAAAAGCAGAAAGCAACCATGCTACAATTTGCAATACTAAAATACAGTACAATATATATTGTTAGTACCTCAGTGTAAATACTCGCATCTGATTGGTCAATTAGCGGTCAACATTTTTGCCTGTACCCCACCTGGGCATCATGGGATATCATATTATTGACCGCGTATGTTACTGTACTACACTTGTGAATTATGGGGAATATGACGTCATAATGTCTACAGAAAAAACATGGTAGACGGACATTTTGTAAACGTTGATGAAAGTCATATTTTGACTTTACTAGACGACAAGTATAGCAAAATACAAATAGAAACGTAAAATTAACATAAATTTACTAATGAGTACGCATTGCTGGCGTGGTTCGGAGAAAAGATTGTGAAATGAAGCCATACCGATTGATGATTGTCATCTATATGTGTATTATTAGTTTCTTCGGACTAACAAAACAATTGTAGACCTCTCCATTCGGTCAACCGTCAAAATCATATACCTCGACTGTAAACCTTGAAACTGCTGTTGACCTCGACCTTCGGTCTCTGTCAACAGTACTTTCTCGGTTTACAGTCTCGGTATACAATTTTGACGGTTGACCTCTGGAGAGGTCAACAATTGTATACTCGTAAAAGTAAGAGTCCAACATTTGCAGGCTTAAGACAAGGGAAATGGTTCCAAATGTTTTGGCCTCTTTCTCAAAGCATATGCAAATTTATGAAAATTGTGACCCATATTGTATCTTGTTTAATATTCCAGGGTATGGTGTACTATATAATATGGCCCCACGTTGTTGGACCTAAGACACCACCTCCAAATCGACATTACAGAAATGTCTACCGCTTTCACCATGATAGCGTTCGGATCCCTGATAGGCGCAATAGTGAGTGGATATCTTAACGACCGCTTCAATCAAGCGCTGTCACTTGCGATAGCGATGTTGACCAACATGGGCCTTGTTATCGCAGTACCTTAATTTAAACATATCGCTCCTTTTCTCGTGTGCTGGGGACTGATAGGTGTTGGGGCGTCGGTCGTATATACAGGTAATCTTATATTTATGTGAATAAAATTAATCAATTTCAAAAATTATTTAATGATAGACAAAAGTATAGAGGTGAATATGTCAGAAATGCAAAAAATCTATCGATACTTATTGAACATAACAGTGAAGAATAGTCACAAACAATGTGATTTGATTTATTTACAGTACTGATCGTGTTTGTGATAGCCATATGGGGAAAAAGAAGCAGCCCATTCGTGCAGTTTCTACATTTTTCACAGGGTGTTGGAGGTTGCATCGTCCCTCTTTTGGCAAATCCTTTCCTAGCGCCAACAAAATATGTAGACATTGAAAATAATGGAACATATTCCAACATGTCTAATGCAAGTTCTGGACCAGACAATGCATCAATGGTTGTGGAGACTACTGAAACTAACTTTCTCATAAATGAAAACAATGATATAACGGAGTCCAGTGTCAAGTATGCTTACCTTATTGTAGCTGTGTACTATGGGGTAGTGGGTCTGCTTTTCTTTCTTATTGCTATCAAAATGAAAACAATTCGTGCTTTGAGACAAGATGCCAAAACACTGAACAATGAGCAACCGACAGAGTCAACTAAGGCACCACTTAATAAACGCTATAGGGTCAAAATGCTGTTCTTGGTGACTTTGATCTTTTACGCACATGGTGGAGTTCAAATAACCCTTAATGGACTTATAACGACATTCTCCGTTGAAGGACTCCAATGGACAAAATATCTTGGAACATCTATAGCGTCGGTTTCTGGAGTTGCAATTACCCTTTCATGTCTACTCGGAACTTTTGCAACTAAGATATTGTCGCAATCCCAAATGATATCGATACAGCTATTGATCATGCTCTTGTCAATGGTCACTATGGTAGTGTTTGTTCAGATGCACTCTTATGTTTTATGGGTGACAGTCATTTTTACTGGATTATCAAGTGGCAGTATGAATGCTTCAATATATTCCTGGCTCCAAGAGAATGTGATGCCAGTAACGGGTATAGTAGTAAGCTGCAGTATGGTTGGTAAATCAGTGAGTGCGATGACAGTGCCCCTGTTGGCAGCTGCTCTAATGGAGAACGTACATTTCATGTGGTTTACGTATCTGCTACTTGGTATTGTTGTTTTGTTGGGGGTGATAGCCATATGCATATATGCATCTTTTAAAGTTCATATGAATAACCAAAACGCACAATGTGCTGTCGTGACATAAATCTTTCATTTCCTTTTAAAATATATTGCAGATAGTTAAGCAAATTGAACGCCCGTTTTTGAGGTTGCCTCTGCCTGTTAATATTATATATCAATAGATTAAGCTTGTATTCGCGAATGCAACTAACGGCTGGCGGCTATCGGATTAACCTACTATTTTATGGCCAACTCATTTAAATATGAATGGAATAATGGCAGGTATTATTCATATTTAAATGAGTTGCCCATAAAATTGTAGGTCATTCTCGATACAAGCTGAGTACAGGGTGTTCAAAAAACTCTATGTTTAGACCATGTAGTATGCATAATTGTAGTTTGGCCATGCCCTGATAATTCAGTGGCCGTGCCTTAATAAATTCTAAACTCTACAGCTCTATTATGTTTCATCACATAACTTGTTAACGGGCACGGGAAACAATTCTAGAGTCTTGTTGAGCTTGCCATCACAAGATACCGTGATGCAGAGGGGGAGAAACTCCAGGATTCAAAGATAACATACGCTTATAATGTAAATCTGTATTGAGATGACATCGTCGCTGATTGGTTTAGCGAGTCGATCGTTCATTGGTTTAAAACTAGGTCAAATCGAAAACTTTGAAAACCAAGATGGAGGGTAAGTAGTTCCGGGAAAGGAGGTGCGCGGAAATCGTATGTCATCAATTGAATCATGGGGTTTCCCTCCTCTTCCGTGATGCATGGTTTTAGAGATAAATGAATCTGCTGGAGACAGCTACCACCAAAAAGCTGCCTGCCCTACATAGTGTCGAAAATTACTCTGAAACCTTTAGAATTCTATGTTTCAGTAATCAAACTTGGAAATGGTCCTAATATATTAGTAATTTAATACTTACCAGACATGTCTTTAAGAATAATTCCTACCTGCTTTGCACTTTAATGATTTTATTCACATTATCCTTTTTGCTATTTTAAACCATGTGTTTCAAATTATATTTTCAGCATTAGATTATATATCGTATTCATATTCAACTTCTGTAATAGTGGTGAGGGGATAAGCTCTTAATTGGGCCCAATTTTCGTGTCAGTGACAGTTATAGAAAACTCTTAATTAAAGGCAAAATCAGATATATGGGGTGACAAAATTACAAGCAACATGTACAAATGACCTACAAATCTATTCCTTACCATCTCAAATACAATATCTCCCAAGAAATTCACGATATGTTGTCAATTGATGAAGTTATAATGGATTCAAAGTGCAAAAATGGGTGAAAAATGTTATTCTACCAAATCATAAGAATGGTAACCCTTCTTATTGAAAAATAATACATTATTGTAAAAATACTTGGGGATTTTTAGAAAATAGATATGAAAAGAAATGACATAAGCCAGAAATATTCTAAAATTAAAACAATTTTTTGTTAACCCTACTAATTATCACACCAAACTAGTTCTCACTACGTTCTCGAAAACGGGCTTAAACTGTGCACGGACGGATTTGACGTACTAAGAAACCACTAAGAACCGTTTGGGATCTGTTTACAAACTTCATGAAGCTACTAGAACGAGTAGGTCCTCCAGAACTTAGAGCATGCTCAAAATTTTCTGGTGATCGTCAAAACGTTGCCAAATCGGTTTTAAACTGCGTGCGAACTGAATGAACGTAGCTACAACGTTCTACGGTCTATTTACGAACTGTCCCGGACTTTCCCGGACGGGGAATGTGATTTAGAATTTTGAATCGATTCAAAATTCGATGGCGACCATACCGTTCTGTAATCAGGTCATGATGACCTTCTAGACTAAGAGACGCGTTATACGACGTTGCACACCGACGTGGTGCGACCTGAACGAACTGCGAATGAGATGGACGTATTGAAGACTGTTTATGAACGAAGATTGAGCCCGTTTTACGACGTTTTCGTAGGACTGGCAAGAACGGGTAAGAACTAGTTTGGTGCGAGAGGGGGGTAACAAGCAACACAGACACCTTTCAGATCGGAAAATAATTTTTCAGTTATCTAGAGGACTTGACATGAGGATCAGTTTATCTTTTGAATTCTCGATTATGTCCCCTCTCAACCAGCGTGGTTCAAAAGTAAGCACTAACGTATTCTGAAGGTTGTTCTACTCATACCACATTCCATATTTTTTGAATCTTTCTATCTTTGGATCTAGTCCAATTTTAAAGTTGTTATGAATCATGACAACTGAGCGACGGTTCCAATACTTTTTAAAGTTCTGTCCTGTGACGAATTTTGTCCTGTCCAAAACTTTTATTTTAGGAGCACGATTGGTTTTTCGTTTCAACATAGGCCTTAAAATCCGATTTACATACACTTGGTCGTGTGTTGAGAATTTAGCGTCTGTTGCAAGTTTAGCTACTTTTTTAAAGACCCGGATGGACGCATGCGTGTTTCTTACGAACATGAAGCCAGAATTAAGTTCTCCCTTGGCGATGTTTTCCTGTATGATAATGTCACAGTCGCTACAATTTAAATGCAGTAATGGATCCTTTTTGTAAAATATATCACCGTCAGTCAACAATGTATTGTATCCAAGTTGTAAACATTGCAATAACCAGTGTATCTTTGCATTCGTCTCTTTGTTAAACTGCATTGTACCATATCTCGCCAGTCCAGTTTTATTTGATTTAGTCCCAGCAAAATAGCATCGAACATCCATAGATTTCAATTTCCGAAAACTGAACTCATCTTTGCATATAGGTAACATAATATCTGTCAAATGTTTGTTTATTTTTTGAAGGGACAGTCTCATATTCCAAAACATTTTGAAATATGCCTTATCCACAAAAGTCAATATAACCAGGTTTTCCTTTGCATTGACCACGTGCTGCAAAGAATCTCGAAGAGAGGATTCTTTCCTAATTGCATCTACAAAATCTAATTTGACATGGTTTTCCTTTGCATTGGCTACGCGTTGCAAATCATCTCGAAGAGAGGACGAATATGTCTGTTTTGTATCCGCAAAACCTAGTTTGACCAGACTTCCATTTGCACTGGCAATGTGTTGCAAAGCATCTCGAATGGAAGAATACATCTGATTTGTATTATGTTTTTGCATCCACCATAGTAGGTATACAAGGAATGCAAAACATATTGCTGGTATAACTGCAAAATAAAATCATGGAATTGTTTATGTACTTAAGGATTTAAGCCCATGGCTCAATGAATTGCTGCTTATTTAAAACATGCATTTCGTGTATAAAGACTTTAAATGAAGGCATTAGCTCGGAATCATAAAATACTGCAAGATATGTGAGTGCATTTGATCATCCACAATTCATGGAGTCGTGGGCTTGCAGTGAGTTCCTTTCATCTACTGCATAATATTTTGTACAGCACTACAAAAATAAAATGGAATTTAACCAGACTTTTGGAGGATTTTGCAAGATTAATGCCATTTTGCTGTACATTATCCTACTTTGCGATGTACGGTCTAACAAAAGTATATCAATAAAATCTGCATTTGTAATGAATAATGTTTTGCAATGCTCTTTTCACTGGAAGTATTTTGATGAAGTTCAATCGTTCAAAAAATTTTAGACATTGAAATGCGTGCAAATGTGAAACTAATGCACATTTCTTAGTCTTCGTTAAACTGCACAAAAGCCATTGCTTCCTTTGTCGTACTTAAAAAGACTGGTCAGTTATCTAGTAGGTCATTAAGCTTATTTCTTGCTGTTTTGGGTTTGGGAGCGTTGAACCCAAAACAGCAAGAAATAAGCATAATGACCTACTGGATAACTGACCAGTCTTTTTAAGTATGACAAAGGAATGGCTTTTGTGCAGTTTAACGAAGACTAATTCAAAGTAGAAATATGACCTTCGAAATTGACCTTCGAATCTTTGCTAGATTCTTACTAATTGTCAAGAGAGCCCAGTATATTCTTTTTGGAATACAGCTGAATTGTTTTAGTATTAATAACGTTATTATCAAATTCGGAAGCATTGAATTTAGTAAGGAACCTGAAATGTTACCAAGAAATACTAAGAATTAGCATGATATCTTTTAACTTAAATGATAGACAAAATAAACCGCGATGACCATATCAACCACTCTTCTAAGCTGATTAATATATCATGAAAATGAATTCCATTCAATTGCTTTGCTTTTCTGCAGAAATGTTGTTTGCAGGGAGACTTGACTGACCCAACGGGAAGTTTCCAACGGGAAAACGACAAAGGCGTCTCAACTCCGAAAGATCTTTTCACGACAGGGTGTTAAAAAAAACGCAACCCAAAGAAATTGTTATTTCTTGAAAAATACTGGTTCAATTATGTTCACATTTTCAGGAAATAAAGAAGAGACTGTGTAAGTATAGCTCCTGTCAATGGTTAGTTGTAAGACACGATGCCTTAGTTACCTGCTCAAAAGACAGTTGTAATAGCAAAATGCGAAAAACGCAGTCAGGGGTGACTGCAACCGCAAAAAAATTAAATAACTTCCTAACCATAGTGTTTTGGCTCTTCAAATTTAGCACAAACCATCTTCATTCACTGTATGATAAATCTGTAGATTGAAATCAAAATCGCTCTAGGGACTTCACTGTCATGGTTGAAATACTTTCAAATCGCAGTCAAACGCCCTGGTCCAGGGAGACTTAAGAAGGCATTTTGACCATGACTATAAAGTCCCTGGAGTGATTTTGATGAAACTCCACAAATTCACCACACATTGAATGAGGATAATTTGTGCTAAATCTTAAGTGCCAAAACACCATGGTTAGAAAGCTATTCTGTTTTATTGCTTTGGCAGTCACCTCTAACTGTGTTTTCATATTTTCCTAGTACAACTGTCATTTGATCAGGTGTCCAATGCATCATGTTTTACAACTTACTGACAGCAGGAGCTATACATACACAATCTGTTCTTTCTTTTTCCTGAAAAATAAACATAATTGAATTAGTATTTTCCAAGATATAGTTATTTTCCATTCGCGTGTTTCGTATTTTGCTAGTACAACTGCTCTAGAGCAAGTGTCCAAGACACCATGTTTTACAACTTACTAACAACAGGGGCTATACATACATGTACACAGTCTCTTCTTTCTTTCCTGAATATATGAACATAATTGGATCAGCATTTTCCAAGCTATCGCGATTTCTTTGGGTTGCGTTTTTTTAACACCCTGTATTATAACTATCTACAAAATTTACACCGGGTCCAAATATATACGGGATATGCAGTCGTCAATCTGTGGAGGCTTCCTTTTCCCCCGAAGGATTTAGCTAAAGTCCCCAATCAAACCATCGCAAGTGCCATCTATCGTACTCTGATTTAACAATTATTGATGCAATAATTTTAACTTCGAGTTGTGGGGCTCTTGAAAGCACATACTTTTATTTTTCTGCAGAAATTTTGTTTGAAGGGATACTTGAACCAACGGGACGTTATTGAAAACGAGAAAGGCGTCTAATTAAAATTTGATATCATTCATACAGGGTGTTTCATAATGACCGTTCTGGACTAATTAAAACATCTTTGAATAAGCTCAACAGTCTTTACAACTTCTTACATACCTCTACAAAAGATACCCATTTTACCTTAAGCATAGAATCTGATAGCTGCTTTTTCCAAAATTAGCCATCTGCCCTGCAAACAGCTATGATAACCATGCCTCAATACACTATTATCTATAGTAATGTACAACTTCAGGCCCGTAAGACAATTTTCTCCAAGGGGGTGCGGTTTTTACTAAAGAGAATATAAAATTGTCAATTTTTTTGCCGCGTAAATCAAATCGCGTAAGTCAGAGGGGGGTCGGTTACTACACCTATATTGGTGATTTTTTGGGCACTTTTAAAGTGTTTAGAATTAACAAATGCAACTTCCAAACGTTCCAATTGTTTTGTGGGGGTGTGAGGAGTGGTCCACTCCCCCTAAATTTTTTTAGAGTTTTGAGATGCTATTTGGTGCTTTCTGGGCACTTTCAAAGTGTATGAGTCAATAAGAAAAAAGTTATTTTTTTCAAATTCTTTTGGGGGTGTCAAAGAGGATGAGAGGTTGAAGTGGGGTGGGGTGCCAGAGGGGGAGCAAGGGGTTGTCCCCCAGAAACATTGACCATATCAAGGTGCTATTTGATGATATCTGGGCTTAAAAAATGTCCGTGGCAATACATGAAATTCAGAATATTTTCTTTTGTTTTGTGGGAATGTGAGAGGTGGCTAACTCTCCTAGAACATTTTACAATTTAAATATGATATTTGGTGCTTCAGGGCACTTTTAAAGTGTATTAGTCAATAAAAACATTGAAAAACAATCACAATTTTTTTCAAATTTGGGGGTGTCAAAGGAGGGAGGGAGGGGTGCCAGAGGGGGAGGTGGGGTTGGGGTGCCAGAGGGGGAGGTGGGGTTGGGGTGCCAGAGGGGGAGTAAGTGTTTGTCCCCCATATCTGTCCCCCAGAAACATTTACAATATCAAGGTGCTATTTGATGAAGTCTGGGCACTTTAAAAGTGTCTGTGCCTAAAAGTGCCTATTTTCCAAGAAAATTTTACAATTTTAAGATGCTATTTCGTGCTTTCTGGGCACTTTCAAAGTGTATGAGTAAATAACAAAATTTGAAAAATCTTATTTATAGGGGGAGATGGAGTCTGGAGTGGGGATGCCAGAGGGCGAGTAAGTGTTAGTCTCCCAGAATCATTAACTCTATCAGGGAGCTATTTGATGATGTCTGGGCAATTTAAAAGCCACATAAAACAAATTCAGAACTTTTCCATTGTTTTGTTTGGGGTGTGACGGGTGGCCCACTCCCCCTAGAAAATTTTACAATTTACAACGCTATTTGGTGCTCTCTGGCCACATTCAAAGTGAATGAGTCAATTAAAGAATTTTAGAAAATCACAATTTTTATCCAATTTCTTTTTTTTGGGGTGGTCAAGGGGGGGTCAGGGGGTGGGGGTGCCAGAGGGGGAGATGGGGTCGGGATGCAGGTGCAAAATGCAAGAGGGGGAACAAGTGTTAGTCCCCCAGAAACACAAACTATATTAAGGAGCTATTTGATGATGTCTGGGCACTTTAAAAGTGTCTGAGACAAAACACTTAAATAAATTTAGAACTTTTCCATTGTTTTGTGGGGGGTGTGAGGGGTGGCCAATACCCCTAAAGATTTTACAATTTTAATAATATTATGTTATTTGGTGCTTTCTGGGTACTTTCAAAGTGATGAGTCAATGAAAAAAATTACACCCCCCTCCCCGTCTGACGGCCCTGCCACTGATATGGATGCTGAGGATATATCCCAATGATATTTGAAAGACAAAAGTATTAAATATTTCAAAGAAATACCCAGAGAGCTCTTGGTGATTCAATGGATTATATAGCAATATGCTCCTCTCTTTAAATCCATTAAAAATGGTAGCCACAAATCACACAAACTGAGGGTATATTGATCATCAAACTTAAGTTAACAAGTTATGTTCTCATTGACCAGTCATACTAAAATTTGGCACATAAGTCCAGAATTGAATAACCTTTATCATGGTATATAAATTATGGGGCCACTTGATCTAGGATTGACTGTGGATGGGGGACGGTCATTATGAAACACCCTGTAGAGAAAGAAAAAATGAAAAAACTGATTTGAAAAGCGATGTATTTTCCTTTTTATGACCGCCATTTTTGTTTAAGACAGTTTTCTAAAATTTCAAAGATTGTATCAGTTCGAGCATTATATTGGGCACATTTTCTGAACAATTCAAAAGATTCTGTTCAGCGACCTTCTCTAGCTCCTACTTTTAGGTTTTTTTTTCAGTCACACTTTCAAAGGGCTAAAAAGGTTAGTTCATCATATTTAGGTTCATTCTGACCATGCACATTGTGATCCTTGTCATGTAAATATTGATATGTGGAAATAGTTAAATTGACTAGAGGTCAAACCAGAACTCCCCAATTGAAAAAAAACTATGGAAAATCATCTCCAATTATCATCTAACTTACTATTGATAATTAGTTGAAAGTTAGGTGTAACTATCAACTTAATTAACGCTTAATTTGCAACTTAATTAACGATTAATTACCATCAATATGCAAATGAGCTATATAGTGGTCGATTGTCACTGATTTACGTAAAT